GAATATAGAAGAATGGAATAAGTTAGCAGTTTTTGAAACTGGAAACATTTAAACATTTCTTTTTTTTTAAAACAATTATATCGAAACGGAAAGAAGACCAAAAGTAAACCTTTGCTGTATTACTGCAATCAAATTTCTCGATTTTATTGTTAATTTTAAGAATACTCCACGGCTTAATTTTCTAACGACGTTTAGGTATTCTGCCTCGTTTAGCTTGATATATGCCGTAATTTTTATCAACGTTAACATGTGCTATTTAAGGCGAGTGAGAATTAATTGATTGTATGTGATAAACTAATTCTTCGAGTAAGCTTTCAAATTTTTCAGTGCTCTTATTTTTTTACTGCTTTTGCCATCTTGTCATAGTCTATTATCTTCTGTTCCTCTACTTTCTCACCTGAAACATTTGTAGAAAATTACTGCTGTGCGTTGTCAATTTAGTAGTGAGTATTTAAGTATTCCAAACTTCTTAGCCATATCTTCATTTTTTCGCTTTCTTATTGTCATTTGGCAATTAAAAAATGGCGTTTAGATGAAACATTTTGAAGCCATTTCCAAAAATAAGAGCAAGATTAGGTCGCAGCGCTATCAAATCTTTCAAATTTTTTGACTGGTTCACTGTATTGAAAATACACGTCTGCAGCAATTTTAAGGGAGTCATGGAAAAAACTATTTTCCAGCTATTTTACCGTATTAGTAATTCGAGTTTGCAAGTTTTCTCTTTTTGGGTTTTTTCCCTAAAACTTAATTTTTTCATATGAGGAAACTTACTGCAAAGCGCCCACTAAATTTTGTCTTGTAAAGCAAGTTACATTTCAGGAAACCAAAAACATGCATTAGAAGCTTTGAAAAACATTTACTTTTAATAAATTAGTTTATTTTCTCGAAACATGCAAAAATATTTTTGACTTTTGGTAGCAAAAATCTCATTTCTAAATACGCGACAGGAAGGTAAAAAGAAACAAAGAGAAGTTATTGACGAGTACTTGACGGGAAAATCGATTGTAAACATCAAACTTCCCAAAAAGTTTACAAGGTTTTAGGTCATATTTCAATAAAAACTCTTCAATTTTCAAATAATTCTTGAAAAACAAAAGTAGAAATGGCTATTTATGAGGAATAAAGCAATTTAAGTAGAATTTAAGTTTTTCAAAATCTACAAATTTTTCTGATGTTGATCTTATTTTCCAAAGCGTCTGCATGTCACTGAATGCTTTGTTTCAGAGAAGCCAACGACGGTTGTACTATTTAGTAAGGCATTTTTACTTCCTAATGAGAAATCAATCCGAAAAACAAAATACCACAATTGCGGCCAACAACTTTGAAGCGGCAAGAAGTTATTCAATATTTCTAAAACTCTGTTTTTTAAAATAAGGTTGTAAAGACTGAAATAGGATAACAAAAGCGAGAATCTTCTCAAAAAGGAAAGCTGAATAGGCTATAAAACTGTTGACTTGAAAACAGATAGTTTCTCTAACTTTTAATGCTGAAACAAAATCATAAAATTTTGTTATAGGCTCAGTCACTGTTAGCTGCAACAGCAAATTTGGAAGAAAAAATTACAAATATCCAAATTAGGCAAAGGAAGACAATTGCACAATCAATTGAAAAAGATATTATACGCTTACAATATCCGAGAAACTGCAGTTCAGCGAGGTAATCAAGAAGAAAAACTATATACTTTTTGCAGCGTTATAGAAATCAAAAAAAAACCTGCTTTATCCAAAAATCAATTTTCTCTTATGTTTCCTACATCAAAAAATGATTGCATAACTCAGTGTTAAATACAATGCCTTCTGACCTAGTTTTGTTGCTGCAAAACTGATACAAACTTTCAGTCTAAAAATTTGCTATTCTAGCAGTCTCAACTACGTTTTAAAGCACTTTTTTAAATATTTAAGGAAGTAAAATTGATACCTAAAAGTTTTCCTTGCAGGATGTTGACACCTTGAACATAAAGACCTTTTTATCTGTACTCTGCCGCTGAGAATCCTGTCGAGATGAAATGCTAGTTTGCTGGAACATTTCTAAGTCTGCAAAAGTAAAGCTTTATAAAGACATGATTCCGAATCAGTTGTCGTTAAAGACCGTGTAGTCGTTAAAAAAAATTAAAACGAGAAATCAAACTGAGCTGGTCTGATAAAGGTCATCAGTCGCTTCTTGAGTTATGCGTTGTTCTTTTAATTTTTTTTTTTCGCTGTACAAACCTGCTACAGTTTTAAAAGTTTTTCATCTATTAGTATAGTTTCTTCTAAAACCAGCTTTGTACTCGTCATAAATTTCTGAAAAGACGCTACTTTGGTTTGCTATATTAATTAGAGATAATAAGCAAATTTTTTGAGACACGTGTCTTTATTTTCCGCTGCTCTAGACTTTCCGCATTTTCAGAAAACTTTTTGCTGATCAGGACAACTGCTGCTGAACCAGCTTATATTTATAAAAAACTTTAAAAATGAAGGTTTTTGTTACTGTGATTGCGAATTGTAGAACAATTTTCCGAGATATAGCGCTCGATTTTATTTTTTGCTTTCAGAAATTTTTTTGCCCACCTGGAACATTCACTTAAAAACTGGCTTATGTTTATTGGATTCGTTTGAAAATAAACTACTTCACTGTTTTTAATCAGCTTAGAGTGAAGATTTAGATCTTCAACTTGAATGTTTTTTATTTTGGTCAGTTTCTTCTTGCAAGAGTTTCTTGCACTATTTCCTCATTACGCACCACAGTATCACAAACTTTTTTCCACACGCTCTTAGAAAAACAGAAGCCAGTCGAAGAACTATTGTTAAAGACATTAATCATAGTCTTTTAATTAAAGTAAGACAGTTAATTAGCTTGTCGTCAAACTATTTGATAAATGCAAAAGTTCCGGTAAAAACGTCTGGATAGGCCAAAAACTTTCTGGAAACGCAAAAACACAAAAAAGCGCAGAAAAAAACTAATTTAATAATGACTAATTAGCTTGTTCTTAGGTTTTTCTGGCAAGTATAGACTAGTATTAACCGGTCTCTAAATAAACTCTACTAACAGATAAAAAGACTTTTGGAACTGACGCAGGTTTGTACAGAAGACGCAAGCTAACCTGAAAGAACAATGCACAACTCAAAAGCGACCGGTAACAGTAAGTCAGAATACCTCAGATCAATTGCTGATTCTCAGAGAAATCTGGCAATTACACGGTTTTTTTACAATAAGCACCTTTGACCAAAAAAGCCCAAAGCTGTTTTAGTTTGGTAACCCAATTTCTTTTCTCCACCCCAGTAGAAGAAGCCTACGATGAGGCTTCTCCCACTGGGGTGGGTACGGTACCACCAGGTTATGCAGGATGGTGCATCCCGCATGAGCCTGAGACCAAGCAGCACTCCACCAATCGGCGTGCTGACTAGCAACAGGTCTGAAAGATGTAGGTTGTAAAGAGAGCTTTTATACAGTTAAGCGGTGTAGTATGATCGGGTTTGTGAGGTAAATGTGGGCAACGTGGAGAACTAGACGACACGTTGCAGTGGATTAATCAATTTCTCAGCAAATGCATACCAGCTTTTGCAGATTGTTAAACCCCGGCCAGGGTTTGTTGCGTTAATGCGTTATTATAGAACGCAAACAGTCAAGCTTTTCCCGTTGCGTAGAAAAAGGACTGGGTTAAATAGAACCAGTTGGTTCAGTTACCCAATGTTTTTGTGAACCAAAAACTGCTGGAACAGAGGAGCAGTTTGAGGCAGGCATTAGCGCCTTTTCAGTTAAGGGCTTCCAAAAATTGGTGTAACAAGAAAATAAAAGATAACAAAAAAAGAGATTTTATTCTATATTTTTGCTAATAAGTTGTGTTAAAAATAGAAGAGAAAAACAAAAAAAAAGTGGAATTTTATTCTATATTTTTGCTATAAGTTGTGTTTGAAATGGAAGAGAAAATCAAAAAAAATGGAATTTTATTCTATATTTTTTCTGATAAGTTGTGTTTAAAATAAAAGCGAAGAAAAATTGAAAAAAATATAATTAATAGTTGGCTGATAAAGTACAGATTGTACTTGGGAGGAAAATTTAAATCAAGATAAGTCTTTTCTTTTTTTTGCTCACCAGCATGCTGCAAAAAAATTTTTAAAGTGCTGTCGTCATCTTTTATTACTTTTCCTCTGTTATGGTGGCAATACAGCCCATCGAGAACTGGCGGAAAGCAAAGGTTTGGGGAACAGAAGTGGTACTGTTCTGAAACTTCGGTAATTGAAACGATATTCTCAGAGTTGAATATCTGAACGGACATCAACAAAGTGAGTAATTCGACTAATATTCTCATAGTCCGACAATTTAACGAAAAGACATGAATGCACCCAACAAAGTCCAAACCAAACACGACAGCGTCCCAGCGCAACCCAGTACCCACTATTCCACGCAAAACAGTAATCCTTCCCTCACTTACGTTCTATATAAACGATTTTATAGGCAAAAAGAGAAGGGCTGACAAAAAGCGCTTACGAAGCTTGCTCCCCCCTCACTTTCCGCTCTTTTGCCGACTACCCAAGGGAAGTTTTTATAAAAAAAGCTTTTGCTGCCTTCTCATAGCTTTTTCCATTTTTCAACAAAGTGTACTTTTGGGTTCCTTATTTTGCACATCGCAAACATCAAATATTAGTTTTTACTTTCTTTTTCCAAAAACCTCTTAAATGTATAGAATATTTCAAATTATAAGATTGTAAATGTTCTTTTGTTGAAAGAAACTCTTCTCTTTTTATGCTACTTGTAGCCATTTTTCATGTGTTTGTTCAGTATCGAGCATTAAATCTACATATTAGGATAGAAAACTGAGACCGCGACTTCATTTTCTTTACAAAATTGAAAATTTTATGAAATGAAATTTGCACTGACAGAGTCTTACACCAATAAAACGAAGAAAATAAATTTCCACAATGAAATTTTAACGATGTTTATCACACATTTGAAAGCTACACGATGAGAGAAAAAATTGAAGAAAAACGAAGACAAGTGAATTTGAAAACTGAATCGTAATGTTCTGGACAGCGAACGGCAAAAGCCACTTACCTCCAGAGAAAAAAGCTGAAAAGAACGAAAAACTGGATTTTTGTAGGAAATTAATTTGCGATTTTAACGACCTTGAAGACTGTGGCTTGGGCTGCGAACTGCTTCGGCTTTCATATTGCTTTCTCTTTGCTCGAAACACAAATAGAACTGCAATATTAGATAAAGACGGAACTAAGTGGAGATACACTGAAAATGGTTGGAATCGGTTGTTCAAACCTGTAACAAATTGTTCCTATTATCAAATTGCAAAGGTCAGACTTTTCTGCATCTTTTCGCTTTCGAGAGCCTGATTTACTACATTTCTCACAATTTTACAAAATTCCTATTTCGTTTGAAATAAATCATTTTCAGGACAATGATATAATTGTTACTTGGAGGACTATAAATAACCAGAGCAAAGTCATGTTTCTTCATTTCTTTGATGACAATGAACAAAATTTTTTAGAACCCAATATACCAAAAGCTTACCGTGCTCTTGAATATCTTCATTCAAACCCATATGTCTTTTTTATAAGTCAGGTAACAAACAAAGATTATATTAAGTTTATTAAATACATTGTATTTCCAAAAAGTAAGAATAGAAAAATGTATAAACAATGAAGCAATAATAATTGTAAAGCAATAAGAACTCTAATTTTTTTTAATAACACAAAAAATAGTCAAGTCTTTTCAGTATAAGAAGTTCTTTATGAGACTTTCGGAAAATATGGCAGATCCTGTTGCAAAAGCACTCAAAAACATCACGTTTAGCAGTGGTAAAAACGATTATGGTTATCTTTAAGTTTGCATGCGTTTCGGTTTTCTTGCATTTTGACAATATTCGCTACTTATGAGCTGACTTAGAAAATGGGAGCTCTTGCACTTTAACGGCCCCATATACATTGTTTGGAGAGAGGCCTCTTTTAAGGCTCCTCTCCATCGCAACTTGCGAATAGAGCAGCGTCGCTATCGCCACAGCTTGGATCAGCCAAGAAGATGTTGATCATATCAACCTCAACTTCGGAACTGCAAAGTCCCGTTCTCCTGAGAAAAAGTAGTGTTTTCAATTTATAAACAACAGTGAGACATTATAGACGAGTTTGACATTTCGTTCAAACGTGAGGGCAGAACGGTTGGTAAGAAGTATGAAAGAGCAGTATAAGGCGGTCAAGACGATACCTTCAGGACAGCTGTGGAAAGTCTTTAATTACCCAAGTTTGATGTAAACTGGGTGGTGAAGGTAGCAATGAGAAACTGTAGACGGGTTTTACTTCTTACAGCAACCTGAGGGTAAACAGGCTGTCGAGGTGCGACTCGAATAGCACCCCTCAAATGAAGGACTTTTCGAAAATTAGATGATCGGTTGCTGAGCGATCAGAAGCAGAAAAAAAGCTCTCACTTTCACACAGCGCAACGAGGAGGTAAATGGTGCTCCTAAATTTGCGGCCTTACAAAGCGCTGTTCTTATATATTGTTCTCCATAAAAATTCGCTCATGTAAGACTGTAAAAGCGCTTTTTCCGTTCCATACCTTGCTTTCTGCCTCTATTTGAACTTCTGCCATACAGACTCAATGGTATTCTTGTAAGCTCCGGTATCAGGATCAATAAAGCGGGGTTTGTGGTCAACAGTCTCATGCTGATACCCCTCCGGCATTTCTTTGATGATGCTGTATGCCGCCCACTGCTCAAACACTATAGTCGTTCCTGGAACAACATACTGTGAGAGAAGGGTAGCAGCATTTTGTTGTTGGACTGGAACCACAAAACACTTGCTAGTCTCTAGCTCAATTCCTCCAAAACACCACTGTTTCTCCACCATCTTACCCCTATTGTATTTTCTCCTGCTAAAGAGCGTTTCGCCAATCTCCTTTACTTTACAAAACCTCCTATTCTTAAAAGATGCCTCCTAAAAT